CTCCTCCTCTCCCTCTCCTCCGCGCCCCCCTCCCCCTCCTCATCGCCAAGCTTCTCAAGCGCGGCCCGGCCGTCCGCCAAGTTGCGCGTTCGAAGGAGCAGCATCCGACCTCGATGATCTTCACTGGAAGGCCCGAGCTAGATCGAAGCGAAACACCAGACATAGGGCGGGATCGGACCCTGATCAGGTCGATATCGGGCCGCTTGAGATCGGTGATCAGGCGAGCTTGCACGGGCCAAAGAAAAGGAATCGGATCGTCGAATCGGGAGCAACCCTGGCAAGCCTCTGGAAATAATGCCTGCCCGACCCACGTCCAGATGTGGATCGCGCAGTGGTCCCGCAGAATCCCCAGAGGCGCCACGTGCATCCAATCCCAGTAAGACATATCATGACAGCGGCCCCTAATCTGGAACGCTGGGCTGCGTTCGCTCACGCCCCAGAACCGCTCAAACGCATCATTCGATAATTTCGTTGCCCTCCACGGTGCATCTTTCCTGAAGTTCCCGTAACAAAGTGATGGGCCCGTTGTCATCGACGGCTTACAGGCGAAACACGACGTGCATATCCAAGTACATTGCCAGTAATGCTTCTCGCCGTGAACTTCCATTTTCGCTTTGGTATCGTGCTTGATGCCAGTATAACATGCAGTGTAGCCGCCAGCCATTACTTGTTTCATGATTTTATACCTGATGGCGTCTTTCTGAGACTGCCGAAGGTCTTCGCCATAATAGCCACGAGAAGGACCGACGCCTAATTCACACAAACGTATGCTCCAAGCAAAGAGCGACAACACTTCACGAATGACTCGCGCCTTGATGTTCGACACGGACATGTGCACGGCTCTCACGGCACACAACGGGGACACAATATCACAAGGCATCCCGACGGCAAGGGGAGAACGAAACGTGAAAAAGTACGCTTGCCCAAGGTGGGCCCCGAGCAAATGAAATTTGCCTTTTTCAACTTTCCCTTTCCTCGAGCCATCAGTTCCCAGGTTCTCCCTGAGAGGATTCCCTCGCCGCCCCTCCCACGTTCGTTCGGCGCGCGCGACAGCGTTTGCATAGAATTCACTGTTCCTGTACACCTCCGCGCCGTCGTCGAAAAGCATGATTGGGATCAGCGTGTCTAGTTCACCTGGAGTACGTCCATCCAAAGCTGGACGTCGTGAACCCCAAGTTGTTTTCGCCAGTGCCCATTTCCAGTACTTCACAAGTTCCTCGGGCCCTCGAGGCCCCATGGTTGAAACTTGAAACTGTTGCGCCCCAGCTAGCGACAGGGCGTGCAGAACTTCGCGTGGCAGTAAGCACGGCACATCTACAGTCTCTGTGACTTCGTCGTTCCCCAGCAGGAGATCCAATTTCAAATAATAATATGGGTCGAGTTGAAAGCCCAGGAGACCCCGCGCCCGCAAGTGGAGATCGCGCTCGATGTTCTGCGGCCGTGGCCCACCACAACCGAGCGACGCGAAATCGACGATGGATCTGTGAGCAAATCCATCCTGAATGGGCGCCACAATGTTTTGCAGGATTGGTAAGGGGCCGTTCCGATAGGTGACGCCTCCTCCTCCTCCGCCCCCCTCTTCCTCCCCCCCCCCCCTCCCCCTCCCCATCCCCGTGCCCCTCGTGTTCCCCCTCCCCCCCTCCCTCTCTTCCTCCTTCCCCTCCTCCTCCTTCTCCTCTTCCCCCTCCTCGAACCTCCCCCCCCCTCCCCCCCCCCTCCTTGCGCCGCATGCAGCCACGGGGGGAAGGGGGGGGCCGTGCTGGGAGGGGCCCTCACTCCGCTCTCATGCCTTACGAAGGGGGAGGGGTCGGCGTCTTTGGATTTCGCACTGTTCTGCAGCGAACCGCAGCCCCCCCACCCCGCCCCACGCGCGTTCCCCCCTCCCCCGATTTGAATTGCACAACGACAGAAAAAGGCAGGAAGGCGCGGGCGCGGGCAGGAATTGCTGCATAACGCGCTGCAGTGGTGGCTGGATTACAAGGGCGGTCATTCCGATTCCGAGAGCGTCCAGGAAGTTCACGTCCAGCAACGACGGGGTAGGTGCACGTGACCCAAGAACCAAGGGCGCAACGCGCTATGCAACAATCCACGCCCGATAAGGGTTTTGTTTCAGAAATCTGTCCTGCACCATGCATCTCGCGAGCCGCGCCCCCCCCTCTGGGCGCGCCTGTCCTTCGGGGCCCGCGCAGGGAATTTGAGGGGGTGAAGGAGGATAAAGAAGAATGAACGTGAGAGGGCGCGACATGGAAAACAAAAAAACAAAAACAAAAAACAAAAGCTAGAAAAGGAGAAGGATGTCCAGAGCCAATGCTGGTCAGCATCTCCTCCACGGTGAGAGAGTGCAGGCCGGAGGACGCCATCGGCCGCCGTGGACTCCTCGCGGGCGCTTCCTCTTCCATCTCTCCCCTTTTTCTCCTCTTCCTCCTCGCCGTCCTCCTACTCCTCGCTTCCATTTCGCCCTCCGCCTTCTCCTCATCCTGTCCTTGTCCTCCTCCTCCACCCCCCGTTCTCCCCGCTCCTCATTCTCTTCCTTGTATATTATTGCTCATCATTTTCTCATCGTCCGACTCCTCCTTCTGCCCCCCCCCCCCCCCCTCCGCCATCCATATCACCTCATTCTCCCCCTCATCTTCCTCCTCCATCCCCTCGAGAGTCTTAGCGATGCACCTGTTACCCTGGCAGTGCAATCAGCGGGTCCTCGAGCGGGTGCGACGTGCTGGTCCGCATTGAAGCAGGTCGGTAGCACCTTCACCCGCAGCAGGAGCACTGTTCTTGCTTGCGCACACGGAGGAGGAGGAGGACGACGACGAGGAGGAGGAGGAGGAAGAAGAGGACGAGGAGGAGGAGGCGGCGGCTGCAGCGGCCGAGGACGACGAAGAGGCGGAGGGGCGAAAGTATAGGGAGGGGGAGGAGGGGGAAGAGGAGGAGGAGGAGGAGATGGAAGAGATGGAGGAGGAGGAGGAGGAGGAGGAGGACCGAGGGGCTAAAGGCTGGACGCCCTGGGACTGCGTTGCAATCAAATCCACTGAGCAATCCAACCCATCCCATCCCATCCCATCCAATCCTTTACCGCTCCTCCCATCCTTCGCTTCGCCGTCGCAGGAGGAGGAGGCGGAGGAGGTGGAGGGAGGAGGAGGAGGAGGAGGGAGGAGGAGGTGGAGGGGGGGGGTTCAGTTCTTCTCGGTAGAGGGCGAGATGAGATTCGGCCTTTGGTCCTGGTAAGATGCCCCACCCCCCCATCGCCCCCCTCCTCTTCCACCGCCCCCCCTCTTGTTGCGAGTTCGAGAGGCAGAGAGGGATGGATGAATGCGCCAGCTCGCTCGCACCCAGTCGAAACCTGCAGGCAGACAGCAACTAAGCGCCTGCAGATGTCTGGCAGCCGGCGTCTTCGATCGCTCGGGCCTTCGGGACTTAGCGCAAGAGCAAAAACAGTTTTCGGTCGCGGACCTGCAGTCTACAAATCTATCCTGGAAAAATCACATTGGATGTCGACGTCGTCACCGCTGCCATCTGGCAGCTGGCGTCTTCGATCGTTCGGGACTTCGGGACTTAGAGCAAAAACAGTTTTCGGTCGCGGACCTGCAGTTTACAAATCTATCCTGGAAAAATCACATTGGATGTCGACGTCGTCACCGCTGCCATCTGGCAGCTGGCGTCTCCGATCGTTCGGGACTTCGGGACTTAGAGCAAAAACAGTTTTCGGTCGCGGACCTGCAGTTTACAAATCTATCCTGGAAAAATCACATTGGCTGTCGACGTCCATTGTTTTCGCTGTCGGCGTTGCCCCGGGCCCGCTGCCGGGCGCTCGCCCCCTCCGCGATCACGAGCCCGCGCCATCGGCCTTGCGGGGGGAGGGGCGGGCGAGAGCAGGCATCAGAGGGGATGACATAGAAGGAGGAGCGACAGCATCGGCAGGAACATGCCAGAATCTAAAGAAGGAGGGGGAGGAAGGAGGAGGATGAAAAAATAGAAGAGGAGGAGTCAGTTGCCAATTTGGTTCAAGCTGGCTCAAACTGCATCCGAAACATCTAAATAGGCAGTTGGCAGTTATCGTGAGGACGAAGAGAGAAGAAAGGCGTGTCCAGCCTTGCCGGCATCGCCATCCTCGATCACCTTCTTCCTGTCGGCCTCGGCTTTGGCTGCGGCCTTCCTCTTCGAGTTGATCTTCTTCGCGAGGCTGTTCCCGGCCTCGTACCTGGTGTCGAACCAAGCCGTCCACTCGACGAATTTCGCCTGGACCTTGACGAACGCCTCCTGCTGGTATGTCTCAGGGCTGAGACCCACAAGCTTCTCGCCAATCTTCCACAGCTCCTTGACCCTCTTGGCGTGCTGCGTCATCTGTTTCTCGATATCCGTGGAGAGCTGATGGGCGTTCAGCTCAGTCGAGAGCCGCTCTGCCCTGGACACTTGATTGAGCATGTCGCTGAGCATGGTAGTGGCCATCGCATAGTCGGCTGGATCCAACGTGTAGGAGGTCTTTGCAGTCCCCTGGCCCTTGCCCTTTCCCTTCGGGTTCTTGGGATCCTTCGTCGGCTTACCAGCAGGCGCGGGGACGAGCCCGAAGAATTTCTCACCGCCTTCTTGCCCAGCGAGCGCCATCGCCCCCCCGAAGAGACCGTCACTGCTGAGCAGCGCTTTCGCGCTATCCTGGTCAAGATCCTGCACCCCTTCCATGGACATCTCGATTTCCTGCTCTGACGACTTAATGTTAGCCAGGCGAGTGCGGATCAAGTAGTACCGCTCATTCGTGTCGTTCGGGAACTCAGCATCCAACTGATATTGCCCTGATCCATCCCTCTGCTTCTTAAGCTCATCGACCTTCTCCGGGCTGTAGAAAGCGAGCATCTGCTTCGGCTTGAGCCACTCCCAAACAGCCTGCAACGTGGAATTCCATCAGCACGCATACCATACCGAGCCCATCCAATCGAGGACGTCCACTAGACAGTGGCGGGGCACATGGATGCCAACGAGGGCGTCGGCACCCAACCTCCCACTACCGATCAGTGGACGCCCTGCTGGTTGGACTCACATGGATCCAGGACTGACGCAATTGCAGCCTCGCCCCTGTCGCGCGCAGTGATCTTCAACTGGATCTTCTTAGTGAGTTTCGTCGGGTCCTTGTTGCGCTCCAGCCAGAGATTGAAGGCTTGGAATTTGCCCTGCTTGGTGGCCGCCTCGTCCTTGATGTTCTGCGGGTAGGTGGTGGTGTTCTTGAGCTGCCTGACAGAGGCACAACGAAAACGAAAGGCTAGGAATGACTAGCCATCGGTCGTTGAAAGTAGGTATTTCGGGATTCCCAGATTCCAATATACTTTCGGCGCCTTCAAGAGTCGAGTGGTTTTCCCTTTTCCTTCCTCCTCAGGAGGCGGGCAGAAACCCAATCTATTTCCAACGCCTTCCTACTTCATATTTCTACCTACTTCTTCCGACCGATGGGCATAGGATCAGGCGGTGAGGAGCGAGAGGCGAGAGATAGAGGGAAGAGGGAAGGAACATGAAGAAGAGCCTTGTGAACACAGCCCACTCGGCCGGCGCGGTCACCGAGTTGCGGCGCACGCGGACAACGGGCATATCGTGGGCAGGCCCCGCCGCCTCAGGCATGGCCGCCGCCGCAGCAGACATGCTCGGCGCCGCCGCTGCTGGCGCCGCCTCCGCCGCAGCAGGCATGATGGGCGCCGCCGCTGCTGGCGCCTGGCGCAGCGGCTGCGCCGTTGGCAACGGCGCGGCCGGCGGCTGCGGCGGCGGCGGCTTCGCCGCGGGCGGCTCCGCAGAGGCTGCCAGCGCAGCTGGAGTCGGCATTGCAGCCTTCGGCGCCACCATCTCTGGGGCCAAAGGAGCTGCTGCCTCTTCTGGCACCGCTGCAGCGGCCTTGGCAATCGTGGCCTTCGGCGCTGGCACAGCGGCAACGGCCCCCACAGCCTTGCCCCCGAACAACTCAGCTTGCAGCCCGCCCATAGAGAACTCCCCAGGCGCACCCGCCGTCACGCGATCGCCAAGGTTGTAGTCCAACCCGATGTCCAAGACTGATGCCAACTGCGCGTCGGTCCCTGGGAGCGTATCTTTAGCACCGTCTACATCATCATCGAGCTTGCGGATCTGCGTCTCGATCCCCGGCAGGGGATCACCCGTCGGCGTCGGCGCGATCGAGTCGGCGGCCATAGCATCCAGCGCACCATTGAAGGCATGAAGCGAGTCTACAGGTGCAGCATGCGGATCCATCTCCTGATCACCATCTCCCTCCAAGATCTTCATGATGAAAGCGTCGATTAAATCTTGGGCACCTCCATCCTCAAGCACTGCCAAGTTGTCCTTAATGATGGACAGGTCACCACCGTGCTTCTGGATGAATTCGTCATCATATGGTAGCTCCGCCTCCTTCAGCTGATCGCGCATCTGTTGCGTCAGCATGTCCCCGCGGCGAGATAGCTCAATCTCCTGCAAGAAACACCACAAGGTTTGCCCATCCTGTCGCACGTGTGCACACGCCTATGGCGCGCATACATGCACAGAGAGGTGGGCAATCATTGGGGCGAGGTATCCTCTTGATCTTCAGCTGAAGGTTCATCGTCGTCAGGGAACTGCTCCGCCTTCACCCAGTACTGGCGCTTCTTCATCGGATCTGGTGGGTTCGAAGGGTCGTCACGACAGTGCCCAGCCTTGACCTTGCCGCGCAGGAACATCGCCAGCCTCGCGCCTGACATATGCTTCGACATCTGCGACTCGTTCTTCCAGGTCATCTGAGACACCGACGTCATGTCCGACGTTGCACTCGAGACCGATGGACTCAAGGCCGCGCAGACGGATGGCGAGCGCCCGACCCCTGCTGGCGATGCCACAGGCGGCGCATTGGCAGCCCCCTCCTCGATGGGAAACAAACAAAAGCGATCGGTGAGGACATTCCTCATCATGATCCTTCATATTCTCCTCCTCCTCCTCCTCCTTATCCTCCTCCTCCCCCATCCTCCTCCTCCTCCTCCTCCTCCTCCTCATCATCATCATCCTCCCGCTCCTCCCCATCCTCCTCCTCATCCTCATCCTCATCCTTCTCGTCCTCCTCCCCGTCAAGCTCGGCGACATCGGCCGCGAGGCCCTCGTGATACAATGGAGCACTCGAGGGAGGTCATGCGGTGGAGGCATGCGATAATGGAGATTATGTTTGTACTTATATACCTTGCACCACACATCCAGAGGCGGACCAAGGGCCGAAACGAATGCACATGGGGAGATAAACCTTATCGCATGCGCACGCCGTTGGATTGGCGGATAGCAAGGGGAGGGGAGGCAGGAGGACGAACCAGTGAAGGAGAAGCAGGAGGAGGACTAGGACAAGAAGAGAGGAGTACGTCGACGCATGGAGGGTGAGCCAGCAGAGGAATAGAAAGATGAGGATGACGAGAAGACGGCAGAATTTGGGACATGCAGGGGGGATCCATATGTTGCGTCTTCACTTTGAGAGCCTCCTCGAAAGTGGCATCGGTCTTCTGGCGCTTCCTGAACAGCGGTCCTGGGCCCATGGGATGCATCCCTGCGGGAGATGGCGCCTTGCGAGCAGTCTTGGAGGCCGACGCCTCACTGAAAGCAGCGCCACCAGCAGGGGGGGTCGAGGCCATCACGCGCGCGTGCCCCTGGCGCAACGAGCAGCAGAAAAGAAACCCCTCCTGACACAAGCGCTGCAGATAAGACGAGTCATGTAGGCCGAGTAGGCCCTGAGTAGGCCCTGAGTAGGCCCTGAGCCTCAGCCTCCTCCTCCTCCTCCTCCTCCTCCTCCTCCTTCTCCTCCTCCTCTCCTCCCCCTCCTCCCTCCTCCTCCTCCTCCCCCGCCTCCTCTTCCTCCTTCCTCCTCCCCCCCATCCCTCCTCACCACTCATCCTCCCTCCTCCCCTCCTTATCCTCTCTCCTCCTCCTCATCCTCATCCTCCTCCATCCTCCTCCTCATCACCCTCCTCCTAGTAAGACCTCCTCCTCCCTCAGCTCCCCCCCCACCCCACTCCTCCGACCCCCCTCACCCCCCTCGACGGAGCGGGCCGTCTGGACGAATCCGCGCGGCAACGAAATCCCTCCAAGTTCACCGATGGCCTCTTCTAAGGCCCCGTCTGGCCCGGAGGAGGTGGGGGAGGCGGGGGGGGAGGGGGGGGGGCGAGCGGGAGAAGGAGGAGAAGCAGGAGGAGGAGGAGCGGGAGGAGGGGATCGCACCCGCCCCAACAAAAAGTTGAGAGAAGGAGGGAGGAGGAGGAGGAGGAGGAGGAGGAGGTAAAGGATCCCCCGATGGGAGCGAGGATGGGGGGGGCGGAGGAATGGGGGGAGGAGACGGAGTGGGGAGGAGGAGAAGGCTAGGAGGAGTTTTGCGGAGCGGAGGAGGAGGAGGAGCGAGGCGGGCGGAGGGAGGATGAGGAGGTATCAAGAGGAGGAGGAGGAGGCTAGGAGGAGGAGGGAGAGGGGGGGGGGGGGATGAGGAGGAGGAGAGCGCGGAGAGGGAGGAGAGGAGGAGGAGGAGGAGGAGGAGAAGGAGGAGGAGGAGGGAGGAGGAGGAGACGGGGGAGGAGGGCTGAGGAGGAGGAGGAGGAGGAGGAGTTTTGTTTAGTCGATGCCCCTTCCCCCCCGTCCACGGACGTGTTTTGAAGGGGGGAGGAGGAAGGAGGAGGAGGAGGAGGAGGAGGCGGAGGAGCGGGAGGAGGAGGAGGAGGAGGAGGAGCTGATTACCACTTTACGGCTTTCTACGCTGTTCTCCGGCTATTTGACGGCCATTCTACGGCTCATATTAATTTTCAGATGGTGTCGAGTAGGTGTTTGACATAAGTTTAAAGTAGGTGGTTGCCACTTTACGGCTTTCTACGCTGTTTTCCGGCTAGTCTACGGCCATTCTACGGCTCAGTTGTTCTAGCAGAATGCTTTTGTTTTTCCAGGAACCGAATGACTAGAGGTTGATGGCTGCTTGCTGCGAGCACCATGTGGCTACATGCCGCATCTCAGCATATTGCCAGCGATCAGTTCCAGTGAGCTCGCGCATGCCAGCGGTAAGTTCACTCAGTTGCCACGGCACCGTAGCGGCATCAGTCTCAAGCTTGCGGGCGGCCGAGCGGAGCTCCTCCTTTTGAGCACAGAGAAGAGGAAGCAGAAGGAGGAAGAGGAGGAGACGCGAGAGAGAGGGAGAGAGAGAGAGAGAGAGAGAGAGAGAGAGAGAGAGAGAGAGAGAGAGAGAGAGAGAGAGAGAGGAGAGAGAGATGAGAGAGAGCACGAAGAGAGAGAGAGAGAGAGAGAGAGAGAAGAGAGAGAGAGAGAGAGAGAGAGAGAGAGAGCAGAGCAGAGAGAGAGAGAGAGAGAGACGAGAGAGACGAGAGAGAGAGATGAGAGGCGAGAGTAGAGAGGGAGAGAGAGAGAGAGAGAGAGGAGGGGGAGGATGAGGAGGAGGAGGAGCAGGAGGAGGAGGAGGAGAAGGATGAGGAGGAGCAGGGGCAGGAGGAGGAGCAGGAGGAGGCGGAGGCAGGGTGCCCCTCCCCCTGCGCCCCGCAGGTGCGATGGCGCGCCATCACGACGTTATCAGACACCACGGCGCCTCCACCCGATGAATCGTGGAAGGGGGGAGGAGACATAATGAGGGAGGGTGTAGTGTTAGTTTGGAGTCTCAGCCAACCTTGTGCGCCAAGTGCAGATCACGAACGGCCATGCCGAATCCCACGGGGTAGGCTTGCGACAGCTTCAGCTCAGGTTTGTTGCCGTGCACTTTCCCGTCGACGCTCGCGTGCAGCGCGACGGCGGGGCCATGATATTCCCCGTACTTATGTTGGGCATCTATGAGTTCAGAGATCCAGGGATGTCCCGAGTAAATCCACGTCTTCTTCTCGCTGGAACCGCCGAAGGCCCCCATGGACACTGCGATGCGGTACACCCGATGACGCTCGGCAAATTCTTGGAACCTCTTCGGGGCGGAAGGGAGAGAAGAAGGGTGAAGGAAAGGGGGGCGGGGCGGGGAGGGGGGGGGGGCGGGGGGGGGGGGGGGTGCGGGTTGGGGGCGGTAGTAGTGGGAGCGAGGGGGAGGAGGGGGGGGGGCGGGGGGGGGAGGGGAGGTGGGGATAGGGCGGGATGTCGCACGCATGACCTCAGAAAACCATGAACGCATTATAGATCGCACACGAGGTGAAGGACCCGCGGACCCCAACATTCCAACATTATGAGGTAATGTGTTGCCCCAGGAACCTAGGGTGAACTTCGAGCAGGCTGTTCATCGGCTGCTCCAAGAACCAGAAGGTGCCCCGAGCACAATTGACTCACATAATAGCAACGACTCGCGATACCATCGTGTTGGCGTCCTTCACAAGGCACATGTGGGTCACCGAGCGGGTACCATAGCCGACGTTTGGTGCTGAAACGCGATAACCATACCCAAGTGGAACACACAGGCGCAGCGTTAGTACCACCGCCGCTCTTCAACCGAGCAGCTAGAAGCACCGCGTTCACAAACCCGATCGGCGTCAACATAGTTTGCTTACAAACATCTGCATTTTTCTCGAATGTTGCCGCAATAAGACCAGAACCCACCATCGCATTTGTAACAGCTTGGTCTCCACCTTGGGCGGAGATTCATACGTGGCTCGTGAGATCATCGTCTTATACCCCCCTCCCCCGGTTAAAACTCGACCCCTGGAAATCTGCACAGGGGGTCGTCACTTCTGCCGTCACAGTGTTGTGATTTTTAAGAGGACCGCCACTGAAATACTCCACCCAATCAAAGTTAGGTGATGCATCCAGGCCTGGATGCCGTACCACAGCATACGCAATGACCTCAAGATAATACAATAAGAGGCACGCAATTCATGATCATGACAGTTAGAAAACCAAACAGCCACTGGAAAATGCGCGGTGCAATTTCCATAGCCGGTTGATAAACCACACCGACCATGACCATCAATGGCGCGCCAATCGCCTTGAGCTGCCTCATGAGGAGATGGGATAGCACTCGCTGCTGCGATGCCGCGGCAGCTGACTTAGCCATGCCTCTCTTGATAGGTGCACCTGGAGGGGAGGGGGGGGGGTTGTTATTTTTTTCTGGTATGGGGGGGGTGGGGGGGAGAGATAAAAAGAGAGAAAGAGAGAGAGAGAGAGAGAGAGATAAGATTTTTTTTAAAATGCATTTTTTTTTTTTGATTTGATTTGAGAGAGAGAGAGAGAAGAGAGATACACTGAGAGAGAGAGAGAGAGAGAGAGGAGAGAGAGAGAGAGGAGATGCAGAGAGAGCGACGAACCGAGGAGAAGAGAGAGAGAGAGAGAGAGCAGAGAGGTAGAGAGATGTTAGCGAGAGATTTAAAAAAAAAAAAAAAAGAAAACAAAAGATTGAGAGCTAGCGTAGGAGAGAGAGCTTGAACGAGAGACAGATGAAGACATAATGGAAGGTGTTTTTTTGTTTTTGTTTTTTTTTTTTTTTTTTTTGTTATTTTTTGATTGTCGATAGCTTTGTAGCCTAGGGTGATATACAGCCTCCGCGGCACAGAAGATCCACGCTGCCCCATGTACCAACCCCGGCCGCCGCAAGGGGGCGGCCCCCCGGCCGCGGAACTCGAGCATGGGGGGCGGCGGAAGGGAAGTAGATGCAGCGATACGGCGGATGCATTGGATAAGTGGCTCTAAGACAGGGAACCGAGGGCATCCCGATAGACCTATGAGCATCCAAGCGTTGCCCCAGAGTTGCACCAGGGTCTGGCCAGCAGGAGACCACTCACCCAATACAGCCACCGCATCGCTGCCGACGATCAACAACAATGTCGATGGCGATCGCGATGGCGATGACGATGGCGATGGCGATGACGATGATTACTCGACGGCGACATTGTGGCGAAACGATCACGATGATTTCTTCGCTCTACCGAAGCACGTTCGATGCCGAGCCTCGAACTCAACCTACCTACGATTTAGACGTGCATCTGTTCAACCTTTCCCAGGAGATGTGGGAAGAGGGGAGCAAGCTGCATGTGTTGACCACGCGAGCTATAGGACAGCGTGACGATCCCCCACAGCATCTCCAACGAATTATTCCCGCACGGGGTACAGTTGACCTCGCTAGCAGCAGGTTGCGTTCATCGCAACATCATTATAGACAGAGCGGCATGTGCTTACATCCTCATCCTTCCTATTCCGGATTTCCCTCATCATCCACTTCATCATCCTCTTCCCTCCTCCTTCCCTCCCCCTTCCGCTCAGCGAGGCTCAAGCTTAATTGCGAAAACTTGCGCTCGCGCGCCAGCGAGCTTGGCGCGCTTAGCAGGCAACGCCTGCAGGTCCTGTACAGCAGAGCATTTCCTAGAAGGCGTCGGAGGCACCAGCTCAGGCTTGGCCTGGTGCGCGAGGGCCCCATCGTCAGCGTCGGCCAACGAGCAAGCGTAGCTGTAATCATCCATCCTCGCCTTGAGGTAGTTGTCGAGCGTCGGAGTGAGGTATTCGACAGTGTCTGGCATGCGGTGGAGGATCTCCGCAAGAATAGCATTAGCCTTCTTCCGCGCCAGACTCTGAGGCTCGGGAACGTCCAATACCAGAAGATCGCCATTCGGGCCGTGCTCAAGGTCATGCTCTCCATGGCGTGCACGCTCATCGATACGTTCGCATTCCTTCCGGCAGCGGGCGAGCTCATTGGACATCTGTTCGAGATTCTTCTCAAGTTGCCATTGACTCCAGGTCAGCGGGCGTGGAGGCGCTTCGACTGGCATCTTGTCAAGCATCTCGGCCATCAGCCATTCCGCTCTGCGAAATGCATCAGAATCCTCGGAAGGCCTCCTCTCCGGGATCAGCACGTCGTACTCGCCGAAGGCCGGCATCAGCACGTCGTACTCGCCGAAGGCTTCGCTAGGAACTGGAGAAGGCGGGACCCGCCGCAGACTGTCGAGGCTGTGATCTTCATCGTCGAGCGAGCGGTACAACTTGTCGCCCTCGTCGATGCTCGATTGGTCATCGTAGTCGTGGTCCCAGTCCTGGCCATCGTAGTCCTGGCCATCGTAGTCGTGGTCCCAGCAGTCCTGGCCATCGTAGTCCTGGCCATCGTAGTCCTGGCCCCAGTCCTGATCATCGTAGTAGTGGCCCTGGCCATCGTAGTCCTGGCCCCAGTCCTGATCATCGTAGTCGTGGCCGTCGTAGTCCTGGCCATCGCAGTCCTGGCCCACGTCCTGATCATCGTAGTAGTGGCCCTGGCCATCGTAGTCCTGGCCCCAGTCCTGATCATCGCAGTCGTGGCCATCGTAGTCCTGATCATCGTAGTCCTGGCCCAAGTCCTGAACATCGTAGTCCTGGCTCCAGCTGTCCTGATCATCGTAGCCCTGGCTCCAGCTGTCCTCACCATCGTAGTCTGAGAACGAAGCCATGCGTGCAAACGCTCTCTGCAGACTTGGCGCGAGAAAGACCGGTAACCCTGCAGCCAAAATAGCTACTGTCGCACCTAGGGCAGAAGAACACCCTTCAAGAACACGAGAACCTCCGCCGGCCAAAACACGCAGAACATTCAAGGGTACCCCCCCCAAGATGCACAAGAACATCCAGCAAACACGAAGAACATTACGGCACCCTCTCCAAACCGGCCTCGATCTTATGCTTCGGCACGATTGTAATGCGGAGAGGGGGGGGGGGGGGGGATTCGGAAATCCGTCAAAAACCTGGGCCTGGACGCAGACGTGCGTTGGGGCCAATCCAAGCCCGCTGAGCGATGTTGAAGGCCCCCGTGGTTAATCCAAGCCCGCTGTCTGTTCTGGAAGCCTGCTGTGTTCTGTGGAATGCCTCTCGGCCCAGGGTTCAATCACCCCGCTCCTCTGGACTACGTGATGCCTAGGACACCTTGAAACAAAACATCAGCTCCCTTCTCATGATCATCCTCATCGCTCAACCCATCATTGCTCACCCCCCTCCTCGCTCACCCTCCTCTCGCTCCTCCCCTCCCCATCCTCCTTGTCCTTTCTCCTCCTCGCTCCTCGTTTCGTCCTTGTTTGTTCTCGCTCTTCCTCGCAAGCACGCGAGCAAGCGCGCGAGCGCGAGCGGCCGGGCGGAGGTGCGTCTCTTGGCCGAGCCGATGGCGATGCGCCCCATCGCACCTGGCGGCCGCAGGGAGACAGAGTTCGGTTCGGTTCGGTTCGGCCCCCATGACCTGGAGGCCCAGGAGGAGGAGGGGGAGGAGGGGGCGGAGGAGGAGGAGGAGGGCGAGGAGGAGAAGGAGGCGGGGGAGGGGGATGAGAAGAAAGAAGAGGAGAGCGGGAGAAGGTGGGGGAGGAGGAGGAAGAAGAGGAGGAGGAGGACAAGGAGGATGCGTTCCCTCGCTGATCCTAAAGATGCGTTTAGAATTGCATCGGGCCCTCAGCGGGCCCCTGGGGCTGAGGACATCAGACCCTGAGGACATCAGACCCTGGTGAGGTTTCTTTCTGAGAACACCAGACCCTCGACATTTCTCGCTGACGGGCCCTGGGCGGGCCCTCGGGCCAGTTTAAAACCGTTCCCACTGCGCTCCTCCTATTCCCCCCCCTTCTCCTCCCCCCCCCCTCCCGCTCCTCCTCCGTCTGCCCTCTCGGCTGATTTCGCAACGCCGAGGAGGACGGAGGGGGGGGAGTGAGGAGGAGGGGGGGGGAGGGGGTGGGAGGAGGAGGAGGAAGAGGAGCAGGTGGAGAAGCGCTGACCTCTATTGCTACTTTTGTAGCATAGATAGTAGTACTTTATAGTACAAGCAGTAGAAGAGCAGCATACACGTCGGCTGCTCGGGCGCTGCATTCCGCTTGCATGCAATCCGCACGGTGGAGGACGGCTTGCTCCTCCTCCCCCCCCTCGTCCTCCTCCTCCTCCCCCCCCCCCTCCTCCTCCTCTTCCTCCTCGCCGTTACCCTCCCCTCCCACTTAGACCCCGCCCTCGTCTTACTCTACGTCCTTCGCCGGCCTCGTCCTCGCCCTCCTCGACATCCTATTCCTCGCCCTAGTCCTCAAGCCTTACCTCTCTCACGCTTCATTGCCTCTGCTCGCCCAACCACAATCGGACGAACTGTTTCTATCCGCGGCACGAGGTCTTGCACTCCCCAGCAGCACCGCGAATGAAAAGGATGCCTGAAATCGCACTTCCCCCTTCATCCCCTATCCCCATCCAAAACCCCTCTGAGTTTGCCAGGCGCGCTGGCAGCTTAAGAAGCGCATTGCGCATTGCACAGAACATGCTTCGCCTCGCCCGATAGGAGGCACCCAAAAACATACATCTGCGCAACTGCGTAGCGCGAGTGGTCGCCGGAGCGGGCCGCCTGGGCGCGCACGCGTGGCAGCGAAATCCCTGCGCTCGAGAACATCCCTGCGTTCTGGCAGGCGGCCCGGAGGTGGGGCCGCGAGAGAGACAGCCAGCCGCGAGCGCTCAAAGCCTACAGGCCGTCAGGACGTCACGCCTTCAGGGCGGCCCGGCGGGTAGCCACCGCGAGCGCAAGCCATCAGGACGTCAAGCCTGCATTTGCCAGGCGCGCTCAAACTGAATATGCTCCTTGAGCTTCGCCCACGCAATGGAAGTACCGCCGTGGGAGCCCCACGCGAAGGTTCTGGCGGGCGCAGGATCTGACATCACCGCGTCTCCGAACGATTTCACGTAGAAAGACCTTTTGTCGAGAATGACCTCCACCTGAGAAGCGATTGAACTCGCGTGGATATGCCCCCCCACTCGGCGGCGCGCCGAAAGGTTGAGGGAGCGGGGGCGCGCTCATCCCGGCCCCCTCCCCCGCCCTCAACCCACCGCCGAGCCACCGGCGGGATCAGCACAACAAATTCACAGGAGTTCAATCGTTACCTTCTGTTTCTTCGTGCCGTGGATCGTGTAGGCCAAGCCCTTGCCGCCCTTGGGCATCACCGCAGGCAAAGCCTCGATGGGGAGCACGCCGCAACGATTGCACGTCTCGGGGCGCAGCAAGTTGTAGCGGTTCAGCACCTCAAGGTTGAAGCCGCCTTCGAAAGGCCACTTCACCTGCTCCCGGGCGTCCAAGGTGAGGGCCCCTGTCTCCAGATCAAAGTCCTCATGCTGTTCAGGAGCGGCCTCCACTTCAGGTGCATGTTTCCCGCGGCCCCTGCCCTGCTTGCCAGTGCTCTTGACTCTGCCCTTGCCCTTGCCCTTGCCCTTGCCCTTGCCCTTGCTCGCGGGCTGCTCGGGCATGCTGGCGGACGCAGCCTTCGGGGCAAGGGCAGTTCTGAAACGGTGTGTTGCTGCTTTGCGGAGACGCTTGCCGAAGGACGCTCGCTTCCGAGTAGTCGTCTTCTTACCCTTCGAGGAGGATTTGATCTGCTTCTTTTTGGAGGCCGGTTTCTTCTGCTTCTTCAGGTCGATTGCTAGCGCAGCCTTCAAGGCGTTCGGAAACGCGCAATGCCAAGAGCCCCCCCCCCCATTTGTCGGGCCACAACGGTTGCGCGGCAGGTTCGCGTCGCGTCGACCCCGGCGTTGGTTTCTGACACCGCAGGGATCGTTCACCTTGAACGATCGGCCGCTGCCGCAACGTCCGATCGTTCAACATCGATCGATTCTGGGTCGCCGGCGGCGTTCAACCTTGAACGTCCGCGCTGGGGTCGCCGCTGGTCGACGCGACGCAGACCTACCGCGAATGAAAAAGGGTGTCTAGCCTGCAGCGCGGCACCGAGACTCGCCAAATCTGCTGGCCTCTTTGGACGGCAGGTGCCCGTCCAGGATCTGAGGCACTGCAAGCTGGGATCGTCTGAGGATTTGTTTACATTCAAAAACTCCTCCATCTCCCTCTCCCCCTGATCGCCCTCGTCGTCTTCGTCTTCATCGTCTTCGTCTCGTCGTCCTCATCATCTCCTCCTTCGTTCCCCCTTCCTCTGTCTCCTGATGATGCCGGCACGGTCAGCGCCTCGGAGGGCGCGAAGAGCGCCTCAGCGTCGGCGTCGCCGTCGCTGAGGTGCAGGGGGCCCTCATCCTCAGAAACTCCTGGTAGGTCGGCGAGGGCAGCGTTCAGGTCGAAGTCGGCCTCCTCGCGGGAGGAGGGCGAGCGAAGGGGAAGGCGAAGGAGGATCAAGAGGAGAAGGGGGGCGAGGAAGGAGAGGAGGAGAGGAAGGCGGAGGACGGTGAGGAGGACAAAGCCCAGGAGGTGGAGGGTGGAGGGTTGAGGAGGCGGCCAGAGGAAGTGGAGGTGGTGGTGGAGAGGGGGGCCCTCTGCAAACTCGACGCCCTCGCTGACCACCGTCTCGACTCTCTGGAGGGCAGCCTGAATTGCAGCAGGCGGGCCCTCAAGGAGAAGGAGGAGCATGGGAGGATGATGAGGGACAGGTGGAGGAGGACGAAGGGCAGCATAAGCAGCAGGTCAGGTCCTCGACCACTGGGCCAATCGCGGGCTCGGCAGGCACTTCTCCAGCTGGGATCACCTGGGCTGCGTTGCTCCTTCTTTTCCTCCTCCTCCTCCTCCTCCTCCTCCTCCTCTTCCTCCTCCCCCTCCTCCTCCCCCTCCTCCGCTCCTTCCCCACCTCCTCCTCCTTCTCCTCCACCCACTCCCGCCCTGGAGGCCTCCTGGGGGCCCCCTGGATCCTGAGTTAGGCTCCCCGTGCACCCCATCGATCTCATCGATTAGGTTCTGGATCGACGCCGACTCTACCTCATTCGCCCCGAGCTTGCCCCATAGTGCGTCGATTCCCGCTTCTAAGACCAGGAGGTGGAGTGGCAGTAGAGCGTTAAGAATAGCATCGAGATATTCGCGTCCTCGTTCAAGAGCCTCGAGCGTTCGGAACGGGAGGAGGAGGGGGAGGAGGAGGAGGAAGAGGAAGAGGAAGAGGAGGAGGAGGAGAGGGAGGAGGAGGAGGAGGAGGGAGGGAGGGAGTGAGGGAGGGAGAGTCGTAGTTGGAGTCGTGTTGGAGTCGTAGTTGGAGTCTTACTCCTCCTCCCTCCTCCTCCTCCCTTCTCCTCCTTCCTCCCTCCTCCTCCCTCCTCCTCCTCTTCCTCCTCCAATCCTTTCTCTCTCCTCCTCCTCCTCCTCTCCTCCTCTCTCTCTCTCTCTCTCTCTCTCTCTCTCTCTCTACTCTCTCTCTCTCTCTCTCTCTCTCTCTCTTCTCTCCTCTCTCTCTCTCTCTCTCTCTGTCTCTCTCTCTCTCTACTCTCTCTCTCTCTCTCTCTCTCTCTCTCTCTCTCTCTCTCTCTCTCTCTCTCTCTCTCTCTCTCTTCCCTCCTGCCTCCCTTGGCCCCCGTTTTGCCTGCTGCAGCGGCTGCAGCTGCTCCGCGGCTTCCTGCTCCTTCTTGCAGCACCTCGGGCACTCGCCGAAATCCTCGCACTTGTACTCGGCTCCGCAACCGGAGCACGCCCACGTGGGATCGACCTCCGAGTCGGACTCGACGATGGCAACTGGAGTGGGCGGCAATACACCTCTCAGATCGGGCTGCGGTCCTCCTGTCGGGACGCCCGCGCTGTCCACCTCGCCGCCCACGTCCATCATCTCGCCGTCGCGATCGAACTCCACGACTGCGTACTCGACGGAGTCGCCGATCTCCACCGCCGCGGTGTCCTCGTGAGCTGGGAGGTGACCCTGTTCCTGGCCAAGCTCGGCGTCCTCGTCCTCGTCGTCTTCAGCGCCTGCATCGTCGTCGGCACACCCGCGTGCCCTGCTGCATCTCGCCGGCGGCCACTTGACGAGGCTCTTCAGCTCGCGCATGATGGGGCTGTAGCTCGAACGCCCTCCTCGCGACAGGTAGCGAACAGCGCCGATCAGCTTCTTGATGTCGTTCGCCTCCATCACGGCCATGCTCGTCTTGCCCTGGAGCCCCGCCTCGTCCACGCCTGGAATCTTGAGCAGATTCCCTGCCAGCAGGCCGTCCGCGATGAGCATCGCATCTGCGATCATGTAGGGCGAAGGCGTCTTCATCGGATACGCCCTCAGCACAGGCTCGATGAAGATGTAGTTCTTCTCGCACTGCGCCATCGTCGGGGTGTCGGCGATCGGCTGAATCAGCCTGCCGCCCTTCCACTGCCCGCTCTTGATCTTCTCCTGCGTCGCGGCGGGCAGCATCCCGACGATCTTCTCGGCCAGCACTTTGCACGCGTCGCCGCTCCAGCCCACGCGCCGCTTCTTGCACGACCTCCACGTCGAGGTCGACGAGCTCGCCTCCGACGCCAACGACGCCATGGCCTGCAGCTTGCGCCTCGCGAGGGCGCCTGCAGGAGGTCGCGCCTCCAAGGCGCGGAAGCCAAAATGGCTGCGACGGAGGGGGGGTGGAGGCGGGAGTGAGGAGGGATGGAGGGGGGATGGAGGAGGGATCTCATCCTCCTCCTTGTTCTCATTCCTCCGTCTCGCATCGAGGAGGCGAGGGGGGGGGAAGGCGGCGCAGGGTTGAGTGGGGAAAAGGCGGTTAGAAAGGGGTGGGGAGGAGGAGTGGGAGGGAGGGACCAGGGGGGGGAGGGAGGGAGGGGTGGGAGGCTGGGTGAAGGGGCGGGGAGAAGGAGGGAGGAGGGAGGGTTGAGGAGAAGGGGTTACCGAAAGCACATCGATGTTCAAGAGTTGCCCCCCCGTCGAACTCCTCACCCTCTTCCTCCCTCCTCCTCCCTCCTCTTACTCCTCTAGCTCCTCTTCCTCCTCCTCCCTCCTGCTCCTGCCACTGCTCCAGCTCCCGTTCCTTCTCCTGCCCCTGCTGCTGCTGCTGCTGCTGCTAGTGCTGTTGCTGCTGATGCTGCTCCTCCTCCTCCTACTCTTCCTCCTTTTCCTCCTCATCCTCCTTCTCCTAAGTGGCGCGCTTGGCGCAGGGTGGCGGGGCGCGCCTCCTTCGGCTGCAGCCGCGCGCGCACCCCTTCGCCCAACCTGAGCCCTCCGGCGACGGCGCTGGCGGCGGAGGGGGAGGAGGAGGAGGGCGAGGAGGAGGAGGAGGAGAAGGGATGAGGAGGATGAGCAGGATAAGGAGGAGGAGGGGGAGGTGGAGAGGAGGAGGAGGAGGAGAAGGAGGAGGAGGAGAGGAAGAGGAGGAGGAGGAGGCGGCGACGGCGGCTGCAGCGGCCGAGGACAATGAAGAGGCGGATGGGAGGAAGAGGAGGAGGAAGAGGAGGAGAAGGAGGAGGGAGATCAGGAGGAGGAGGAGGATCCCTTTGCAAGCGTTTCCACTCAAGGAACACCATGGAGGGGAAAAAAGCCCCCCTCCTCGCCCCCAAGAAGCGTCGGCTCATGGAGGAGGAGGGCGAGAGGAACAAGAGAGAGTGGGAGGAGGAAAGCAAAGCAAATCCAGCTCTCTTAGCCTTTCCCATTCGTTTCTTTTTCTGTTCGAGGCAAGGGCGGGCAGGAGGGGCAGGAGGGGGCGGAGGGGCAGTAGGGTCGAGAGAATTGGATTTGCATTGCGTTCCCCCTTCCATCAGAAACGGCGGCGATGGCCACGGAAGACAAACCCGAGCCGCCATCGCACCAGCCTCGCGCGCACCTTTATGCCTCAGCATTTCGCGCGGGGCGAATTGCTGAGGGATAAGGGTGCGCGTGAGGAAGACTGGTGCGTCTGGACCCTGAGGGGTCCGGTTCGGACGACGACGACGACGCCGGCGGCGGCGACGGCGGCAACGGCGCCCGGGGACCGCGGACGAGGAGTCCACTCTCTCCTCGAGGCTCGAGGTTTGAGGTTCGAGGCTTTCGGCCTGCGGGGGTCCATCCTCGTCGCCGCGGCTGGGCGCGGCTCGGAAGACTGGTGCGTCTGGACCCTGAGGGGTTCGGTTCGGATGACGACGACGACGACGAATCCCTTTTGGGCCCACTCGTGAGCAAGAGTACTGCGCGGACCACTCGTGAGCAAGAGTACTGCACGGACCACTCGTGAGCAAGAGCACTGCACGAGGTGGCCCCGAGGGCGAGCGGCAGGGGGGTCAGGATCCTGAGGGCGAGGGGCAGCCGTGAGGAGGTTGAGGGGGAGGAGGAGGAGGCAAAGGTAAAAGGTAAAAGTCCTGGCTCCGAGGAGGCCCCGCGAGGGGGCAGGGCAACAGCGCAGCGTTGGCATCATCCTTCGATGAATTGCGCGAAACACTCTGCAGGGAAGGCCTTGCCTTCAAGATCACATATAGAGCGCCAGCAGGAATTAT